TCTTGTTCTGTTTCTTTCAGCCCATCTGTTGGAAGCTAGTAACCCATCTCTTGTGCCTTTTACATCTCTGATTGCATTTTTTTGTGTCTCTTTCTCTTAGCTACAGCTACACTGTTGTAGGAAAGGTAGGCTATGTTGGCCTCAGGGTATTAGCAAGGCAGGGTGTGTGAGGTAATATCTTTTATTGGAAAGATGTTTGTCTAGTAAAAGATTCTACCTCATCCACTTTGTCTTTCCTACAGCATGGCACTATAAAGCAAAAGCTAAAAAAAAAAAAAAGACCCTTCTGGCTTCATCCTTTACCAATAGATGACTTCTGCGTCTCTTCTCATTCTGCTTCAAAGGAGTACTAGCTTTGGGGACTTGCTTGAAAAGAGAAATGATTTTCAAGAAGCTGTCTAACCCCAGGGTTTTGTGACCATAAGACAAGCTCATGGGCTACCTGTCATCCTCTTTATCAGTAGGCACCAACTTTCCATGGTCCATTAATGATGGCAAGTGCAATATGTAAGGAAGGAGATTTTTCTAGTATGCTAAATACAGTAAACTTCCGATAATCCGGCACCTTTAGGACCCAGGGGGTGTCGGATTATCAGATATGCTGGACTATCAGAAGGGGGGGCTATGAGGGGTCTGAGTGAGGTGGGGGGGATGCTACCCCAGACCCTTCATAGCCCCCCCTTCCGATAGTCCAGCTCTGTCCCAGGCGTCCCCGATTCAGCCGCTGTTGGTCAGTTTCAGCAGCGGCTAAATCGGGGACGCCTGCGGCAGAGCTGCTGGGGTGCTGCCGGGTTGGTCTGGTAGTGCCACCCCTCGACGCTGCAGGCCCAACCTGGCAGCACCCCAGCTGCTTTGCCCCCAGCTTCCCCGATTCAGCTTCTAGTCAGTTTCAGCAGCGGCTGAATCGGTGGAGCTGGGCACAGAGCAGCTCCAATTGTCCGGCTGCCCCAGCACTTCCGGGTTCCCAATGGTGTCAGACCATCAGAAGTGCCAGAGCATTGGATGCTGGACTAATGGAGTTTTACTGTACATGCATTCTATTTTTAAGTTCCAATGACAGGCACTTATAGGTTGAACCTGATTTTGAGTGATTTTACTGCCTTTGGATTACTATCCATCGTCAGGATTTGTGGTCTGATAATCTTAATAGTATTTCTCTAGTGTGTGTGTGACTGACAGCATAATGTCAAGCATGAGACAGAGAATTTAAACTTTCTGTTTTTTAGTTAAGCCCCTCGCAATTGAGAAGACTAACAGTAACATTTTCAAAAATGTCTGGTGACTAAGAGTAATGTTTTCAAAGGTGTTTAGGCACCTAGAGATGCAGAGAGGTGCCAAGTGGGATTTTTCACAGATTCCTAGGCAGTTTGGTGAATGAGATAATTGCATTGATCTCAGTGCAAGCCAGTTTGATTTAGGGCTTCTAAAAGCTTAAAACCTCTTGAAAATGGGACCGAGGCTTCTAAGTCACTTACATTTGCTTGAATTTTTGTTTTAGCAGCAGTGTCCAATGTATACTGTTCAACTGCTTTGGATCTAATGTCCATTTCATATCGAACAATTTAAAATACCAAATTCAGTTGTAATGCAGGGAGTTAAAGTCGCCCAGTTCTATTCCTGGTTTAGAAAAGGCATGATTTAATGGTAAGCAAAGGTCCCTTCTGCTACATCAGATGGCTTAGTTCTTCTTCGAGAAGTGTCCTCATGGGTACTCCACCTTGACACGCAGTGATGCTGGCACACCTCAAGGTGGGGCACCCACTGGGACAACCATCTCGAAGAATTCCAGTTACTGTACCAGGTGAGTAACTTTCCCTTGCTGATCATTAAAGGTATGGAGAGGAAGATGTACATAAAGATTGGCCACAAAAGCCTAAAGAATCACTATTTGTACTAGTAGTGAGGGATTACTGAATTAAATAACTCTCAGTGCAGAGATTTGGATTTGACATATATGGTCCCTTTTTTTTTTTCCAGCATCTGAGTTTGTTTTGCTCTGTTGCTTTTAGTAATCTCCTAACTTCTTGAAAACAAAGTTTTGGGTTATTAGCTATTAGTTAAGGCACTTCTTTTAGAAAATCAATGCTGTAGAAGCATTGTTCTCTGTTATATTGTCGAGTACTTGTTGAGCACTTGTTCACGTGACTATATGGATCTGGGGAGGAAAACTCCAAAATTAATTTTAAAAAGGTTATTTGCTGGTTACTGCGTTGGTATAATTATTTAATCTGGATGGTTTGGTTTCACAGATTTTTATTTTTTCTCAAAGTCCTTATGCTTTTCAAATCATATCTTAGCATATTTTCAGTAAAAATGAGCTGAATATGATCTGCATACTTTTATAAGTGTCACTTATCAACCCTTTATACTAGGAATGCTAGTGGCTAGTCAACTAACCACTTATCAGTTAATGGTCCTGCTTAACCGCAACATCCCCCACCCTCCTGCGTGCTCCGCATTTAAAGTTTGTAACAGTAGGCTTGCTCAGTCCCAGCCCATTGGTCTGAATTTTAAATGAAAAGCATGCAGGGGAGCCTTTTGCCACCCTATGGACATGGGCTGCTGCCACCCCATGCTGCTGCCTCTAATGCAGATAAATAACAGGTTAATTTCCAATGTCCCTGTTACATTGTGACGCATTTTCCACTCTTAATCAGTGTGTGGCAAGTATGTCATTTTAAGTGCCAGCACACACACAAAGCATTGTGGGATGAATTTAATTCTCTGCTACATATACGTTTTATTCTTATTTGTATGTAATAAAAAAAATCTATGAACAAAGAAAAATAATAGGTGAATCTCAGCAGAGCCTGTCAATTGGTTTATAATCTGATAATTTGTAATCAGTTTTACTGAGGAAATAAATAGGCTGTGTCTAGACTGGCCACTTTTTCCGGAAAATCAGCCGCTTTTCCGGAAAAACTTGCCAGCTGTCTACATTGGCCGCTTGAATTTCCGCAAAAGCACTGACAATCTCATGTAAGATTGTCAGTGTTCTTGAGGAAATACTATGCTACTCCTGTTCGGGCAAAAGTCCTTTTGCGCAAAAGGGCCAGTGTAGACAGCTCAGATTTGTTTTCCGCAAAAAAGCCCCGATCGCAAAAATGGCGATCGTAGCTTTTTTGCAGAAAAGCGCGTCTGGATTGGCACGGAAGCTTTTCCACAAAAAGTGCTTTTCCGTGCCAATCTAGACACTCTGTTCCGAAAATGCTTTTAACGGAAAACTTTTCCGTTAAAAGCACTTGCGGAAAATCATGCCAGTCTAGACACAGCCATAGTGTTTAAAAGAAAATCAACAAAACAGAAGAGACAAAAATAAAAGAAAAAATATCAGAAAATAGAAAAGATAGAATATTAAATGGTAGTTTTATCTTACCCACATGTGTGTTGCAAATATAAACCTATTGTAACTGAAATTTGCTATATTATGTATAAATTAGTGTTTGTATTGATTACACAGTAAAATAAAATATAATAGAAGAAATATGCCTCTAATTGACTTTCCACTGGAGTGTTTAAGGTTTCTCTTTTATATCTTTGCTATAACATTTGTTTGTTTCTATAACAAGAAGATCTTGCAATATTTTGAGAAATGGAGTTGTCAGTAAATCAATTCTGATAGTTTCCCCCTTGTCTTTAGGGTTTTCTCATTCAGCATTTACCTTTGGTATAGAGAGCCATATCAGCCAATCTAATATAAATGGTGCTCTGGTGCCACCAGCTGCTTTGATTTCCATCATCCAGAAAGGTCTGCAGTATGTAGAAGCTGAAGTCAGTATTAATGAGGTAAGGCGTTTTCTTGATACCTACAGAACATTGTGTGCTTGCTTACATTAAATTTGAATACTGGTATTTTTTTCTTAACTCTCTTGTGTCCTATTTATTTACTTTTACTTCAGATTCCTTACTGCTGGTGTTAACCATGACTCCACTGGTGGAACCAGAATGGAGTGACATAACTGTGTAGGGGTTCTGCCCAGTGCAGCCACACAACACCAGGCATGGTGTGCTGGCTCATTGCTTAAAGGTCCGTTATCTGTAGCGTTTTTTTCCCTAATATAATGTTGTAGTTAATCCAGAAAAGTAAACTCACTATAAAATAATAGTACAAATGAACAAGAACTCTTAATTTCTGTTTGAATGTTTTAGTTCCCTGGTGAACTGACATTAATGGTAGGCAAACATCTAAAGATTCTGGGCTTCTATTTGGAGAATAATCCAAAAGCTTGAGAACTCACTCAGATTCTTTAAGATTTACTACTTCCCTTTTCAACTCCAGAGCCGTCTGCCTCTTACCACCACCTACCGAACAACAGGCCCAGAAACATCCTTATCTTTGAATTGTTGTTCTCTTCTCAAGCAGTGGCATTAGAATTTTCAATAAACAGCCTTGTTGGTTGGAATTTCCAAACTATATTATGTGTCCTTCATGAAAGGAAGACAGTTTCAGCAGAGAGGCTCAAGAGAACAGAGGCTGTGGAATTCTACCAACTCTTGTAGCTACAGCCCCTATTAATGTGGGAGAAGAAAAGAGACATGCAACTCTAATTGTAAGGGGCCTACCACTGGGGAGAGCTCATGGTAAAAAAGAAAGGGCTCCCTAAATGAAGAAAACATTTGAATTTGGTTAGGACAGGAATGACGAACATGTCTAGGAGACTAATATTTTGCCTGAACTGGTTTGTAGGATCTGTTATACATGATGCGTCCATGGTTATCCCATGAGTGTGTTTCCAGCAGTGGAGAAAAATACGTATCTTAAAAGTTGATCTTGTAAGGTATCAGCTTCTTGCACTAGTGGCCTTTATATATGTCAATTAAGCTGTAGCTGACAAACAGATTCGCATCAGTTCTGATGTCCTCACAGTCTCCCTCCCCTTGAGTCTTGAGTTGGTTTAGCTGCAGCTTCCGCAGCTTGAGTGAAAGAAATCCATTTCCTCAGAAAGGGTCATAAAAACAAAGCAACAGAACAAGAGAGGAGAACCTCTATTTATCACTAGGAATCCCTCTAAGTTCTAAAGATAGACCCTTGTAAGGCTTTAGTTAAAATAAGAGACTATTTTTGACTGTGTCTTGCCCACTTCAGGATGAAATTATTTGTTTTTAAATGATGCCAATACTGTTTAAAAAGAAGAAACAAAAATTAATGAAAGCTCAAGATACTGTGTTTGTGAAAAATTTCTTATGACTTCATAAGCTGTAGCATAAACTTGCAATGTATGCAGTTTTGAAATGTACAATTGGATTTTTTGCATATTAATAAGTAGATTATTTCAAAAGTAAGGCATATAACTTTTGGTCCAAGAGCCTCTGCTAGAGGCTTACAATGGCTTGTTTGTTTGTTCAGTACATAGGATGATCACTCCAACTTTTGAGCAGATTTCCAGGCCTAATTAAGAGATAGATAAATAATATATTCTGTATAGCATTTCTCTCTGCATTTGTGAGAGATTGCATTTGTATTGTATTAATTTTCAATTTTTGGAATGCAGTTTTTCCTGGATTTTTTTTGTTAAAGATCGCTAACATCTGTTGTTTTTCTGTGTGTTCTTCCTCTCCCCAAATTAGGATGGTACCTTGTTTGACGGTAGGCCAATAGAGTCTCTCTCACTGATAGATGCAGTAATGCCTGACGTGGTACAAACAAGACAGCAGGCCTACAGAGATAAACTTGCACAACAACAGGCAGCAGCTGCTGCTGCTGCAGCTACCACTAAGAAATGGAGAAAATACTGCAAATGGAGAGGAAAATGGAGCGCACACTATAGCAAGTAAGTTGAGGCAGAAAAAGATCTCCTATATACACAGTTTTGTGGGTCTATCCTTGTTATACATAATAATAATAATACCTACTTCGTGGATAATACTTTTCATCTTTCATGGCAAAGTTCGCGGATGATACTAAACTGTTTAAGATAGTCGAGACAGAAGCAGACTGTGAAGAACTTCAAAAAGATCTCACTAAACTGAGTGATTGGGCAACAAAATGGCAAATGAAATGTTATGTGGATAAGTGTAAAGTAATTCACGTTGGAAAAAATAACCCCAACTATACGTACAGTATGATGGGGGCTAAGTTGGCTACGACAAATCAGGAAAGAGATCTTGGAGTTATTGTGGATAATTCTCTGGAAACTTCCACGCAGTGTGCAGCGGCGGTCAAAAAGGCAAATAGGATGTTAGGAATTATTAAGAAAGGGATAGAAAATAAGACACAGAATATCTTACTGTCCCTGTATAAAACTATGGTACGCCCACATCTGGAATACTGTGTACAGATGTGGCCTCCTCACCTCCAAAAAGATAAAAAAATAGCCTTAGAAAGGATTGAGAAAAGAGCAACTAAAATGATTAGGGGGTTGAAACTGGTTCCATATGAAGAGAGATTAAAGCGACTGGGACTTTTCAGTTTAGAAAAGAGGAGACTAAGGGGGGATATGATAGAGGTATATAAAATCATGAGTGTGGAGAGGGTGAATAAAGAAAAGTTATTTATTAGTTCCCATAATAGAAGAACTAGAGGACACCAAATGGAATTAATGGGTAGCAGGTTTAAAACTAATAAAAGAAAGTTCTTCACACAGCGTGTAGTCAACCTGTGGAACTCCTTGCCAGAAGAGGCTGTGAAGGCTAGGACTATAACAGTTTAAAGAGAAGCTAGATAATTTCATGGAATTTAGGTCCATAAAAGGCTATTAGCCAGGGGATAGAAATGGTGTCCCTGGCCTCTGTTTGTCAGAGGCTGGAGAAGGATGGCAGGAGACAAATTGCTTGATCATGGTCTTAGGTCCCCCTCCTCTGGGGCACCTGCTGCTGGCCACTGTCGGCAGACAGGCTACTGGGCTAGATGGATCTTTGGTCTGACCCAGTACGGACATTCTTATGTTCTTATATGTTCTTATCAGTAAATGCAGCCTCTTCTTATATCTGTAGAATATCCCTCAGCTAGTAAATGCATCCATCAGATAAAGGTGTTTATATCTGTAACCCCATGACTTGTGAAGAATACGTTTATATATGATATTTTAATAGTCATTTTCTCTACTGTGGGGGCTTGTGAACTCTGGACAGTCAACACTATAGGCCAGATTCTCATTTCCAGTCTGGCTCCTCTGTGCTACTGGGCACTATTGCTGTAACTTGTCATCTGGAATTCCCCTGGGACAGGGAAGCTCTTAGCTGGTACAAAGCTGTCAGAGGTGACTCCTCTGAGAACTCCTTCTCCCCGACCTCGCTCTAGCGCAGGAGAAAGGGAGCAGGGATGTGAATGGTTAACTAGTAAGGCTCACCCTTAATGGTGAGGCTTACTGGTTAATTAGTTGGGGGCTGGAGCTGCACCTGTCCATGGCAGCCCCAGCCCAAGCACACCACAAACAAAGGCAATCCAGCCAGCCAGAGCAGCCTTTGTCCACAGTTGGGAGGCCGCTCCAGCCTAGTTGGGCTAGAGCAACCCACTCTCTGACCCCCCCTTTAAATCGGTTAACCAGTTAAACATTTTGTATAACCAGTTAAACAGGATTTTACATCCCTAACATTAGGGAGTGTTAGCAGGGCATAACTCCAGTCCCCTAATCCTAATTATGTTCAGTTAAATTTTGTTAAGAAGTGCTTAGGTTGCTCTGGCTCATACCAGTGCCAGCACAGGGTCAGACTGGCCTACTCAACCAGCCAGGGACCTATAATCAGTTTCCTGGTGACCACATCATGAAGATCTCAGATGCAAAGGAGAAGAATCCTGCCTGGTGTGGAAATTTAATATAAATCACTTTGATACCAAAAGATGCCTTCGTTCTTGCAACAGATTATTGTTTTCTTGATTCACTATTTAACATTGTTCAGTCACAAGTGTTTGCAAATTTTGTGTACTCAGTGGTTTAGTATTTGGGCTGTGCTGTTGAGTTGTGATTGGTCATGTAAATCATAGTTTTGGATAAGTTTACTTTTGTAGTCAGGCTCATCGTGTGAAACTCATAGAAAAGAAATGTAGCTTTCTGCAAACATTAATGAAAAGACTCAATTGCATGATTTTTTTAGTGGAAAAGGATGCAGCAGGGCACAAGAGCAGCCAAAGAAAATTAATTTAAAATTTTGACCAAATAGTCACTTAAAGCTTATGCATTATTTGCCTTGCTTTACAGTTTCATTGTATTAGTTTCTATTGTTTATTATAGCTAATTATTGAATTTGGAAAACCAAACAGGCTCCATAAATTTTAAAACTCCATACATAGTAATATTTGCTTGTTAAATGTGAATTGTAACCTTAAGTTTTAGAACTATCATACTAAGCTTGTGTAAAAATATGATATACCAGCAACCTCTACTGGCTGGAACACCAAATCATATTGACATTGATTCTCTTCAATCAATACAGTTTTTTATTTGGTGTTCTCATAGCTTATTCTCTTCTCTAATGCACAAGCACTGACATACATATCACTAAAATACCTTTACTATAAAATTTAAGCAATGTATGCACAGTGGTTTCATCAGTGACTGCCGTAGATAAATGTGAAACAGTTTAATTTTTGCCACTTTTCATATTTATCTTGGTTTTCTCCAAGAAAACTCTGGATGTGAAATAACATTTTTTTAAGATAGAGCATTGGTGCTCTCTGGCAATAAAGCTGTTTTTAATGATAAATTATCCTGAGTCTATTTACAGAACAATGAAGAATCAATTTGCCTTCCACGTGGAAAAGCAATACATAATCATAAATTGATACTAATTGTCAGCATAAGATAAAAATGTCAGGGTCAAACTGGCTTACTCAATCGGGGACGTATAATCAGTTTTCTGTATGAAGAAAACCAAATATCTGCCTTTTAATTAAGATCATTTTCAGAAGAGAAAGGTTTCAAATGTTGATTTCACACTCAGTGATAGCCATTACTTTAAAGTTAAAATGCAGTAGTTTGATATTTCATGTACAGTAGAAGCTATTGATTTCACATTCATAAGATGGAAATCAGATACATTTATTTTATTTAGTACAAGGCCTGACAAACAGGGAGAATATGTTGTTTGAAAATACAATTTTAACAGTGTCAGACAAAGATTTTCTGAAGTGACTAGTAATGTCCTCAGTTTTTGGTGCCTAATGGGAGACACCTAAAAGATGCTTAGGGAAGTTCTTTTGGCACTTTTTTAAAAATCCATGGTCCCTTCTAAAGTTTCTCAAATTGCAAACCTGAATCTGAAATCAGTACAGGTTGGACCTTCCTGGTTGGGCAACCTCAGGACCTGATTGCTCCTGAAGGAGGGAATTTGCTGGACCAGGGTAGGTCAGGCCTCAGACTCTTCTGGGGCTCCCTTCCTGGTCACTGCCCTGGCCAGTGGGCTGCCTCTAACCACTGGCGGGGGTCCACTCCAATCAACAGGGCTCCCTTCCCCTCGCTGGCAGTGGCTGTAGCTCCGTACAGCCAGACGCAGGGGCTTCCCTGCCTCCAGCCGGCAGAGGCTCCTTATCCCTGGTCACGGGCTTCCTGCTTCTGGCCGGTGAGACTCCCTTTCCCTGACTGGTGGTGGTTTCATACCTCTGGGCACAGGGGCTTCCCACACCTCGCTGGAGGTGGCTCCTTGCACCCGATCCTGCTCTGACAGCTGGCTGCTTGCCAGACTCCCTAACCCCAGGCTACTGGACCTCCAGGCTTCCTGCCAGCTGAGCTACCAGCCACTGGCAATGTCTGTGGCTGGGACGTTTTAGACCTGCCTGCTGGTCCACGGATGTTGTCGGACCAGAGAGTCCTGGACTACAGAGGTTCAACCTGTATTACTTTCAAAAATCTTATAGCCTTTAGATTCTATGAATGTATCCTTCCAGTATAAACTTACCATTTAATATTCAGCGAATGAAATATATTATCCCAAACCATCAATATCTAGTTTATCTTCTGTTTTCCATAATTTAGATAATCATACGGATATGATGGAAGTGGATGGAGATGTGGAAATCCCTCCTAACAAAGCAGTGGTGCTGCGTGGTCATGAATCTGAAGTATTCATCTGCGCCTGGAATCCTGTTAGTGACCTCCTGGCCTCAGGGTATGTTTTTACAAGCAAAAATGGCAGTTCTCATTGCAACTGGGCATTCATATATTTTGGAGACACAGTATGCTATGCCTCATAGACAGTATCTCTTTTGTCACTGTGTTGAACTTGCTGACATTAGGCCCTTTTATCCTTAGGGCCAATTTTCTTTATGAGGTATAAGTGCTTGGCAGCATTCTGAATGCCAGAAAATTTTCAATGCAATTTGGTGAACTGTAGGTGTGTCAAGTTGGGTGGAGAAGGGAAAGGAAAGCCAATCAGATTTTCCCCTTTCTAGTACCACCCTTTTGCATTCTTTCCCTCCCTCCCCCCCTTCATTCTTCCTATCCTGGGCTGCTTCTTTTGCCTCCTGAGGGAAGCTGAATGGCATCTTCCAATGGCTGCCTCCCTGCTAGTGACAGAACAAGCAGAGTTTGGTTTTCCATCAGCAGTGAAAACAGTTGCCTTGCATTGCAAGGGTGAGAAATACAGCAATGGGTCTTTTTACACCCTGGACACTCAGTGCACATGTAAAACACCTGAGAAGGAGGGAAAAAGTTAGAAACACTCCAGCAGAGATCAGGACTATTGCAAATATGCCCACACACTGGGAGACCTTGAAGAAGACATTTATTCTTGCTGTATTTTGTCTGTGAGGTGGAATAATACTTTGCCCTCCTCAAATAAATGATTTAATCTTCACAACATTAAATGTTCAGAATGCTCTATATAACATATGTAAATGTATTACTTGGACTATAGAGCATTAGTGGTTGGATTTTATTCTAATAATCTTATAGAGCTAGTTTACCTAATCATTATTTCCTTTAAAAACACAATTACCATGGCTTCTAGTAATTGAGGCGTGTGATCAGCTAGAAATTCTGCTGCTAATTGATAGGGACCGGGAAGATAACAATGTTAGCATTTGTTTTGGATACACAAATTCTCTGTCAGGGAGATGAAAGCCTGCAGAAAAAATTCATGACTGGAAACCATAAGTGTATATGATAAATTAATCTCATCACAACAGACTATTCTAGCTTTCTTTGAGTGAATATAATTGGGATCTGCTCTCAGATATATAGCCTCTTCCCAACTTACGAACTGGTTACGGACCAAGCAATTGGTCATAACTCGGTTTGTTCGTAAGTCGGACCTCATAGAGTTACACGCGACCATGCTGTTTGTAAGCACGGATCTCGTTCGTAACTCAGGGTCTGCCATTTACGACAGCTTTGGTCATAACTGCGAACGGTCGTAGGTCGACTGTTTGCAACTCAGGGACCAGCTGTACTGATGTGGAGCTGACTTTTTTTTCCATTGATGTGGTTTTGAATGTATTAACATATAACTTTTTAAAATGAAGTTTCTAAATTGGATACCATGTTGCATGTCCATGCTTCTTGAAGAGGACATTGTCCGTTTTGTTGTTGTTGTTAAGCAATTTGATGTTATCTTGATTGCTTAGATCTGGCGACTCAACTGCACGGATATGGAACCTCAGTGAAAACAGCACCAGTGGCTCTACACAGCTGGTACTCCGACACTGTATACGAGAAGGAGGGCAAGATGTACCAAGCAACAAAGATGTGACGTCCCTGGATTGGAATGTAAGTAGAATTTACAGTGTAATTTTGCCCAATCAAATGCTTGGATGGATGGACACATGCTGGTTTTGCTCAAGATAACATACTACTAAAAATGGCAGCTTAGCTGCAGTGCAGACAAGCTAAGAGTCTGATGGCTTGCCTATACACACAGCACATCAGCACAGCTGCAGTCATTACTGAAGATGCTATCTACACCAGTGGGAGAGCTTCTTCTGTAAACAGGAACACTCCAGCTCCCCAAGAAGCAGTAGCAAGGTCAACAGGAGATTACCACTGACATAGCGTTGTCTTCACCAGTTCAGTTATACCAACTGTGTCACTCAGGGATGTGGATTTTCTGCACTCCTGAGAGACTACATACTGACGTTAGCCTGTGCTGTTGACCAACTTTCAGATAACATTGGCAGCTAGCTCACCCAGGCCACCATAGCTACGCTGCTATTGTTAGCATACTAGCTTAATCTGGCATGCGTAAATTTATCCAAGTTGGAAATTATACCTCTGGCTGCTGTGTGGACATACACGATATGACAAGAGCTTTGTATCTTTTTTTACCTCTACTGAATTGCTTTGACTTTAGTGTCATACCAGAAATAGGTTTTCATTTTACTGTATGCATCTCTTTTTTAATACACTGCAGATTCTGGACTAAATAGCATGACCTTTATGCAAAATATTTTCTATTTGAAGTTTTCTTTGTGTCCCTTAGTTTGAATTGTATAATAAATGTAATAACTTTTTTGCTGACAGAGTGAAGGTACGCTTCTAGCAACTGGGTCGTATGATGGATTTGCAAGGATATGGACTAAAGACGGTAATTGAAATGTTTCACATTTCCATTATATTTTTCTGCATAGTGTCTCACAACATGGTTTTTTTTTCCTTCATTTCTTGAATGTAATAATTTCAATGTAAATTTTCAGGTAATCTTGCCAGCACCTTGGGGCAACATAAAGGACCTATATTTGCATTAAAATGGAACAAGAAAGGAAACTTCATTTTAAGTGCAGGAGTGGACAAGGTGAGATAATGTATGGCTAATTAAAACAATTTCATGATTAAATTGTACCATAATAAACACTAAAACAAAAATTTGGTATGTACTAAGAAGATAATAGTAATAAGAAGTATGGATAAGGAATCAGTTATATTAGATACACTTGATCATGTGACAGAGTTGAAAAACTAATTGATTATTTGAATCCAGTGGATAAAATGGGCCTGGTTCTCTTAATTACATAAATATAAGTCAAAAGTAACTCCCCTGAAGTCAGTGGCATTACACTGAGTAAAACAAATGTATCTAGACTTTAGTAAAGGACTTGATACTGTACTTCAGAAACTATCTTTAAAAATAGACTCAAAGTAGTTTGGACATGGCACCTATCAGAGAGTGGACTTAAAAGGTCACAGTTAAAAAACAAAAAAGGACAATGTATTTAAATGGGATAAGTGGCCAGTGCAGTGCAGCAGGGGTCATTGTTAAACCATGTTTTAGATTACACCTTTAAGAAAAATGAGAGGTAAACAATACAGTAAATTCAAAGCTCTTTCTGATTTGAGAGATTTTTCAGATAGTAGTGAGAACAGGAGGTATTGAGGGTAGAAGCTAGGGATGTGAAGGACTAGTTGACGAGTCGCTTCCCTCCCTTGCTGCCTCTATCAATAGAGGAAGCAAAGGGGGGCAAGAAGAGGGGATAATTCAAAGCAGCAGTGCCACTTGAAGCCGAGTGCAGCCTGGAACCAGGTGGGGTATCCCCAGGCTGCATGCAGCATATCAAAGCGGCAGTGCTGCGTGGAGCCTGGGATCAGATGGGGAATCCCCAACTAACCCTGGGCTCCATGCGGAGCTGCCACTTTTAAACACCACAGGGAGCCCCACATCAGGGTCCTCACAGCATTTCAAAGTGGCAGCACCATGTGGAGCCCGGGATCAACTGGGGACTCCCCAGCTGACTCCGGGCTCCGTGCAGCGCTGCTGCTTTGAAACGCCGCCACCCAAAATAGAACCCACAACATCCCGAGCTGACCCCAGGCTTCATGTGGAGCTTTTGCCTTTGAAATGTAGCAACAGCCCTAAAGCTCTTGCTACACTTCAAAGGCGGAGGCATCCTATCACCTAATCAAATAGCTGTTACAAAAATGCATCAAATATTTGATTAGTCAGTTATCCGATACTTAACATCCTTAGTAGAAGCATAAAGGACTGAGAGGGATTCTTCAGAATTTTCTGGGCTTCAAACTCAGAGTGAGGGTATGAAATTGTGCAAAGCTAAATGACGCTTTACTGTCAGGGAAAAATTAGAGTAAATTCAGTTAGATTGTGAATGATCTCCCAAAAGAGGAGGTAGAAGCCTGGTTGCTTCAGCAATTTAAAATTGAACTGTAGAATGCAACTGAGAATATAATATCAGAAAATATTTTGCATTGTCTGTGAGGGTATGTCTACACTACAATGTTAGTTCGAACTAACGGACGTTAGTTCGAACTAACATTCATAGGCGCTACACTAGCGCTCCGTTAGTTCGAATTTAAATCGAACTAGCGGAGTGCTTAGTTCGAACTAGGAAAACCTCATTCCACGAGGATTAAGCCTAGTTCAAACTAGCTAGTTCGAATTAAGGGCTGTGTAGCCCCTTAATACGAACTAGTGGGAGGCTAGCCCTCCCCAGCTTTCCCTGGTGGCCACTTTGGCCAACACCAGGGAAACTCTATGCC